TCAATAACCAATAGCGGAACCTGGATGCTCATATTGGTTCCTACATATTCTACGAAGATCTTTATCGGTCAAACCGCATAACAACATACGTTGTTCCCTTTGTCATCGGTATGTTACTTGCCCGAGATTTGATCGTCGGTATGCAATACCTAGTTCAATCTCGTTACCGGCAAGTCTCTTTACTCGTTCTGTAACAATCATCTTATAACTAACTCATTAGTTACAATGCTTGCAAGGCTTAGGTGATGAGTATTACCGAGAGGGCCCAGAGATACCTCTCCGACAATCAGAGTGACAAAACCTAATCTCGAAATACGCCAACTCAACATGTACCTTCGGAGACACCTGTAGTACTCCTTTATAATCACCCAGTTACGTTGTGACGTTTGGTAGCACCCAAAGTGTTCCTCCGGTAAACGGGAATTGCATAATCTCATAGTTACATGAACATGTATAAGTCATGAAGAAAGCAATAGCAACATACTAAACAATCAAGTGCTAGGCTAACGGAATGGGTCATGTCAATCATATCATTCTCCTAATGATGTGATCCTGTTAATCAAATGACAACTCTTTTGTCCATGGCTAGGAAACTTAACCATCTTTGATTCACGAGCTAGTCAAGTAGAGGCATACTAGTGACACTATGTTTGTCTATGTATTCACACATGTATTATGTTTCCGGTTAATACAATTCTAGCATGAATAATAAACATTTATCATGGAATAAGGAAATAAATAATAACTTTATTATTGCCTCTAGGGCATATTTCCTTCATAAATTTCATTAGAATTCAAAAATGGGCTGCACATTCTTACAAATCTCAAATGGGCTATAAGTTCTCTGCCACACACTTTTGGCGTTACTAAGTTGACGCGTCCCCTAAAAAAACAGAGTTGACGCGTATGCAAGGCTTTGTCAACTTATAGTCAACACACGGTTCTAGCAGCAGTGGTCGTTGGATGTCCATCCAACGAATGTTGTGCTTCTTCTTCAATCTTGGATATTCTAACTTCACCCGCCCAAAAAATGATTCCCCCTCTGATGTCTGGGGCGCACCGTTTCGGAAGCTGACCTGTGGGCCTACTAAGTTGACGTACCAAGGGCTTTGTCAACTTAGTCAATATAAACGATTCTAGCTGCAGTGACCGTACGATGTCCATCAAACGACCGTCGTGCTTCTTCAACCTCTGGTCTTCTTGCTCTAGCCGCCCAAAGCAGCGTCGGTCGTGCCGCCTGCTGCTGCCCCATGTGGCCGGCTATGCTGCCGTGGAGGCCTCACCGCCCCCTACTACTCCCACCGCTGGCCAGGCCATCCCTCCACTCACCCACACCCCCTGTTATTCTGCGGCGACGGCAGCGCAGCCGAACCAGTGAACCCTCGTACTCCTCTTCGCGTGTGCATCCACTGCCGCGTCTTCTCCGGCTCCGTGTCGTCCCCTTCCTAGGCCTCGCCGTCGTCCACCGTCGTGGTGCTCTCGGCGCGGCGTGGTCAACGTGGTCAAGGAACCACTTCCATCGGACGTGGACTGTACGTGGAGAGGCTGACAGCTGGGTCCACGGCAGCCGCAAGGAAGTGCCTCCTTATTACGCGCAAAATAATTATTCTTTCACCTGACAGCGGGGACCTAGCGGACGGGCCATGATATTTCGCGAAAAAAATGATTCACCCCTTGACTGTTGGGACCCACGAGCTACATCTTCGCACGCATGGAAGTGCGTTTGAAAAAAAATGATTTGGCCCCCTGACTGTTGGGACCCACCAGCTACATTTTCGCACGCAAGGAAGTGCGTCCGAAAAAAATGATTCGCCCCCCGACTGCTGGGACTCACCAGCTACACCTTCTCATGCAAGGAAGTGCGTTCGGGCAAAAAAAATACAAAACGGTTCACCCCCCTGACTGCTGGAACCCACCAGCTATGTCTTCGCACACAAGGAAGTGGCTGACAGTCGGGACCCACCTGGTCGAAGCGTATGTAGCATTGTCATTCTGGTCGCGAACGTGTACGTACATATATACTGGTCGATGTAGAGGCGCGCACGTGTCGTAGTAGTGGCGCGCACGTAGCATGTACACGTACGTACAGCGGCCAGGGTGCAAGAAAAAAAATACGGCCATGTACGTATATACGGGCAGGGTCTCGAACGCCTACTCGCGCATACGTATGGCCAGGGCTCGTGTACATGGCTGGGTCGGAACAGAGAAACAGCATCGTCGTCGTGTTCATGGGAAGGCAACGGAATACGTCGTGTTCATCGGGAGGCAACGGAATGCATCGTGTTCATCGGGAGGCAATGGAACGCGTGGGAGCCAACCGGCTGGGTAGGAACGGAATGCGTGGTCGTGTTCATCGGGAGGGCTTGGACGGAACAGGCGATGGAAATGAGGCCTGGCATACCGCAGAACGGAAAAAACGGCCTTGTGTTCGACCGGTCAGGTTCGAAACGGGGGTCCTGTTGATCGGGAGGGGTGTGGCGTACCGCAAAACGGAGGAAACGGACCTCCTACGGTCGAAACGAGGTCCTGTTGATCGGGAGGGATGTGGCGTACCGCAAAACGGAGGAAACGGACCTCCTACGGTCGAAACGGGAGTCCTGTTGATCGGGAGGGGTGTGGCGTACCGTGAAACGGACAAAACGGATTTGTGTTGGAGCGCTACGGTCGAAACGAGGATCCTGTTCATCGGGAGGGGTGTGGCGTACCCAAAACGGGACTCAACGGGATACTGTTCATCTCCACCGTCGACCTCCTCCAGCCTCCACGGGCTACCATCGACCTTCTCCAGCCTCCACGGGCTCCTGTTCATCCAGCCTCCACCGCGCGCTACTCCACCAGCTACTGTTCAACCACCCCTCCACGGGCACCCCTCCACCTTCTACTGTTCATCCAGCCCTCCACACCACGGGGGCCTGTTCAACCACCCTCCACGGGCACCCCTCCGCCGTCTACTATTCATCAAGCCCTCCACATCACGGGGTCCTGTTCATTCAGAGGCAACGTCACCACTCACTGTTCATCCAACCCCCCTTCCCCCGCAACGCTCACTGTTCATCCAATCGATCGGCTTCAGTTAGCAGCAATAGCGAAGGAATCGCTCGATCCGGTTCAGTTAACAGTCATCGATCGATCGCTCGGGTTCAGTTACCCGTAGCCTGCAGTGCAATCGCTTAGGTTCAGTTAGAGCCCAACGCCTCGCTCGGGTTCAGTTAGAGCCAACGCCTCGCACACACGCGCGTACGTGTACGAGAGAAACGCGCATCGCTCAGCCCCCGACCTCCCACCGTAACCGGGAACTCCCCGAAATTTTCCTCGCCCTCACTTCTACCATGATTTTTTTCGTCATGGACGGCCCAAAGAATGTCATGCAGCTGCTTCTCCGGTCCGCTAGGACGAAAAACCCATTTTCTGTCATGATTTTTTGTCATAGAAGTAGGAGCCACCACATCTATGATGATACCGGGTTTTGTCACAATTATCGTCATAGAAGTGTCATATGTATGACAGGAAAAAAATTCGTTCGGCCCAAAATGTCACGGATGTATTTTTTTTGTAGTGTTGTGATTTCTCTACTTTACCCTTGTACACCTTCCGATGCAATTCCGAGGTGATATGCATACTCTTCAACCGAGACTTCACCCCCACTCCAACATCATACCTTCCAATAAGTTTAACCTCATCATTTGGGTCCATCCAATGTAACACATTTCTAACTTTCACAACTACATCCTCATATGTTGGGCTATACTCAAATATCATGTGTTCTTCCCCTTCATCGTCATTGCCATTCATAAATGTCTCCTTATCCAAATAATGGAGATTCACGAGACTACCCATCTAAATAAATTTTAGAAAATGTCAATGATAGGTGGCAACATAATATGGGACAATATCCATTGTGCATCCCATGGATCGATAAAAGTTCTATGCAATACATTTAAGCAACAAAACAAATAACAACTAAAGAACAAAATATCATGGCTTAACCCTAACAACTAATAATGACTTTGCCTAACACTAACCCTAACCCTAAAAATAACCAAAACAATAACCACAAATCTAGCTACAAACAACAAAGTTAGCACACTACACATGGTCAATCACACATATACAACCCTAGATCTAGATCTACCATCCATCAAATCCATTGATTTCACACAAAAATGAGCACAACTAGGGTTTGCATAAAATGAAGCAATGCCATCAAATAAGTTGATTCCAACCAACCAAAAAGAAGAGAGTGGGGGAGGTACCTTGAGTGATGAAAATGGCCTAAATCCACTGGAGAAAACTCAAGCAAAGGAGATGAATTTGATGGAGCCCTAGGATGGGGGAGAGAGGGGCTCAGCTCGGGGAAGAAAGGATTTGGGGGCGAATGGGCGGCTTGTGGGGCCCACCAAACCCCAGCCATTGGTTTTGTGCATTCAACACCCTACCGCCACTGTCTCCGGCAGTAGGCTGCCTAACCCTACCGCCACGGTCTGTGGCGGTAGCCATTTATCCACGTCAGCAAGCAGACGGCGTCGTCGACGTTGATCCAGTCCTACTACCATCACCTGTGGCGATAGAAAAATGGTCAGATTCGAAAAAAATGTCAGATGCGGCTAAACGACAGCAAAAGGGTCAAAACAGTGACGCAGAAACTTTAGCGTCTCGGAGAAAGTCTCGCGGCAAGCAAACTGGTGGAGCCGTACGTACAGTATTATATGTACTGTATGTCGTAAGTTTATCTTTCTCCGATTACCTTTTTTTCTTTTTTTTCTTTCGATGTAACTCCTTCTCTAATTTTTTTTTGAGGGGCAACTCTTTCTCTAATTATCACTTGAGAAGAATTCTTTCTCCGGATCGACTTGGGCTGGTATGGGCCTGAGCTAACAAGGCCAGTCGGAGAGCGGCCTGGCCCGTTCACTTCTGGCATATATATACATACCTCTGTTCCTATCTCCTCCCTGATAAACGAAACCCAGCCCTAGAAGCCGCCGCCGCCTCCAATAAACCCGATGGCTTTGCGCTCCATCGCCAGAAAGTTGCCGGCCCTCGGTGCCAGGTCGCCGCCGATGGGCCCCCGTATCGGGCCGGTCCACGCGCTCTCGCCGGCGGCGGGTTCTCGCCTCATGTCCCACGGTGGCAGTGGCACGGTAAGTTTTGTTCGATTTCTCGCAAGCCAAGTTAAATCGGATCCCCGCTGGTGCGGTTTTGCTCTAATTTTTCCCCAATTTTGTGTAATTTACAACTTGTTAGAGAAATCACTCACCCCAAGTTAGATCTGATCCCAGCCCCCCTCTAGTATCATCTTTTTAGAGAAATCAATCACCCTTGTACTACTTTTTAGTGGATGTTGGGATGGTGAAAGTCTTTCTGGACAACGATGTTCCATTATTAAGGCACTAGTGTTTATACTTATTTAGATTTGGCGGTAGACCAAGATAAAAAAACAATTATTGCATCTTTCATCCGTCTTGAGAGGCATCCATGATGTATTCACTGTACTGCAACTTCTTTATGAATTTCTAGCATTTGTAACACATGTCCTTCAAATTTTTATAGGGGGGACAAGTGGTTTATTCTGATGATGATAAAACGCTGGCCAAACAGCGTGAGGAAATAAAGCGCATGACTGCAGAGTTTGACCAGAGTATGAAGGATATATCCAAGAATTTGGATGATATGGATTTAGCTGAGAGGTAAATTCCTTAATACAGTATACAACTGAACGAGCCTTTTTACCCTACTAGTACTGTTTCTGGACGCTGTTTATTGAGCAGGCTACTGTGGTTTTTTTAGACGCAAAGTAGTTCTCATATGTTAATTTTGTGTATATTTTATTTTTTCTGAGATAAACCTAGTTGCAGAACAATATTCTGTGTAAGTTGTGAAAAATAATAGGTAACATTGTATCTTCTAACACATTCGCTCTTTGCAGGCGTAGCAAGGAGGACTTGGCAAATTTCCACAGGAGGCTGGATAACATGCAGAAGGTGGTCAATGTTGCTCTTATTGTGCTGGTGCCTACAAGCATTATGATTTTTTTGTCTCTGTAGTATCATCTCTCCTGGTTGGTTAAGAAATCCTAATTTATTAGTGGGTTAGAAACCCTATCGTTGTTTGTGCATGGTATGCTAGGCTTAACCCACTTTCTGAGGTAAAGTATATATGTGTTTTTCTTGTTTGGAATTATATATTTATCTTAATGGACGTAGAAGCACGTGTTTGAGTATATCCATTCTTTTTTCTATCGGAGAGAACGCAACCAAGCCCGGAACTATGCCGTGGAAATGTCTGTGAAGAGTGGTTGCAGCGCGCAAACATACTGCAAAATCACTTGTTTGTAAAAAAATTGCGGGCTCCTGCATAGTTCGGGCCGAATCTGCTATATCCACCTGCTGTCGCTGCCTGAGCTGCTGCCGCGCAAGGAGGCATTGCTGCGAGAGACGCGAGCTCTGCCCGCTGGCCCTAGCCGAGGCTGGAGAGGCGATGGCCCGTGGGCGGTGGCTCCGTGGTGGTTTGGCAGCGAGTGGCGGAGCTGTGACCTCCCTGCCCATGGCAGATCTTGCACGAGAGCTCGACCGGGACAAAGGTCCCAATTGCAGTTTTTATTGAGTCCAGGGGGCTTTATGTTGTTTTGTCAACAATTTACCGGGATTTGTTCTGCTCTCGCACATATCACAGCCTAAAAACTCCTAAAAGACAGCCTAGAAACTCCTAGAAGACATTTGGCGGTATATTTTATAGGACATGGATATACCGGATTTGCAAGAGATGCTCCAATCAGTAGCAGATTCGGCGGACGGGGGCTATGGTGGCGAAAAGCAGAGATTTGTTTATATGGTTCTCCGCAATGCTGTTTTATTCAGTGCGCATATAGCAGCAATTTTTCTAATGTATGTACAACATTTATTGCTGCTGTTCGTATTTCTAACTAAAATTGCTATTTGTATTGCTAACTAACTGAAAACTGATATTTGTATTGCTAACTAACTGAAGAACTGCTGTTTGTATGTTCTAATGGCTGAAATCATCCAAGTCTGAAGCATTTTTCTTGTTCTGTTTTGCTGGATAGATGCCTAGCAGCAAAGTCTGAAGTATTTTTCTTTGTCTTATACGGTTCACTCATAGCACTAGTTGCTGAAATTACTCAATGCATTTTTCTTTCTCTGCAGCTACTAGTCAATTATGCACGCGTCTGAAGCATTTTTCTTGTTCAGTTGTGCTGGATAGATGCCCGGGGTTAAGTGTGAAGGATGTTTTGCTTTAGAGCGACGCTGTCCGTTGGATATGGTTTGGATGCTGATATATGGCCGCATGTTACAGTGTGACTGCCAATGGGCAAGTCACATGATCCTCACACAAGCCCATTTCCCTTGTGTTTTGTAAGTCTGGGCAGTGATAGGCGCGGGTCGAGGCGCAGCCATCGGATTCCCGTGCGCATACCGTTCGATCCTTCATTCCCATCGTCTCGTGACCCTCCTTGTGTTCACATCTGAAAACAAAAAAAAGCACCGGAAGAAAATCATGGCGACCGCCCCACCTTCCCTCCGCGTCGCGCGCTTCCTCTCCCTCCAGCCGTCCTCACTCGTTTGCCCCGCCCCCGAAGGTCGCCGTCGATGCTCACCATCGTCAAAACACAAAAACAAAAAAGTCCGCTGACCTCCTATAGCAGCTTTTTCCGTCGCCTCACTGTTGCATCCACGGGAGCTCCATGGCACTGACCACAACACGGTTCCTCGCCGGTGTTGCCCAACCCCCGATTGCAGCATCAATGGCGATGATGGCGTCGCTCACAGCCAAAGCTGGTGGTAGCAACAAAAAACTGCTGGTTCCAGCAAAATCAAGATGGTTGTAGCAAAAACATATGCCGGTTCTAGCAAAATCAAAATACGATGGTAGCAAAAATATGCTTTGGTTCCAGCGAAATCAAAACATGGTGGTAGCAAAAAGTTGGTCATGTTCCAGCGAAAATCCGAAGACAGTGGTAGCAAAAGAAGTGGGCTGGTGGCAGCAAAAAATCATAAGATGGTGGTAGCAAAACTTAGGACTAGTTCCAGCAAAATAGGTGGCAGCAAAATAAAGTGGGCTGGTTCCAGCAAATCAGAAGACGTTGGTAGCAAAAATTGTGGCCGGTTCCAGCAAATTTGGTCGCAGGTTGCAGCTCCTCCATCTCCGTGACTCGCTCAACGATCCGAGCATTTCCATTTGCCGGTTCCAGCAAATCCGCATGCCAATTGTAGCAATCAAACACCCGGCAGTCGCCTCCAGCATCCGTCGTCCTCCATCACCAGCGAAAAAAGCCATTGGGGCACGGCGACATCTAGGGGCAAGCAACCCCGGGCATATCTGAAGAACACGCGGGTACGAGCGAGGAGCCCCTGCCGTGCTCAGCCGAGCAACTCCCCTTCCCTCTCTATGATGAGAAAGAACCCAACTGGGGAGGTGGAGATGGACGGAGCAGCATCAGGTGTGGAGATTGAAGGAGGTGGGGATGGAAGGAGCAGTAGCAGGTGTGGAGATTGAAGGAGGTGGGGATGGAAGGAGCAACAGCAGGTGCGTCGAAGTAAAAGAAGAGCGGAACAAGTGGTCAGCGATGGCGAACGGGAAATGAACGGAAAAGGATAAGGTCGAGAGCGAGCGGTGCGTATGGAAGCTACTAGGCGAGCGAGCGGTGCGACCGGCTGAACGTTCGGCCGGTCCGCCGTTTCTAAATGTTTCCCTTGTGAAAAAGACAACTTATGTCCTAGTAGGGCATTTCGGTGCCGAGGCTCATCTACACCCGGTTAAAAAAATTCGTAAAAAAAAACAAAACAAATTCAAAAAATTCCAATTTTTTTGTGGTAGAAATTTGATGCGTGAGACCGGCTCCAAATTTCAAGTCACTTGAACATCTGAGCAGCTCTCAGCAAAAAAGACCGGCTCCAAATACCATAATTTTTCTAGTATTTGTTTTGATTTTTTTCGTCAGCGCAGATGCAGTTGAGCTCGGGTGTAGAGATAGATTTTCGCTTATATCCTGCTTACACTAATGAATTAGGGATCCAAACACGTCAAAAGAAAAGCATTGGATCTCTGGTGAAATACCTATTGGCTCTTGGTGGCATCTGTACCCTGAACCAACCATTTCCCTTACGACCAACGCCTTCACTATATATGTATAAAACGTCTGCACTTAGTATTATGTCCTTGCCCCCTCCCCTCCCCCCACACCCCCCGCGCCGCCCTCCTCTGGCGGCACGGGGGAACCCTAGCAGCCTCCGTTTACAGCCCCCGCCGCCGGCCTCCCTCGCATTGCCGCCGCCGGCCTCCCTCGCATTGCCGCCGCCGGCCTCCCTCGCATTGCCGCCGCCGGAGAGTCGGCCGGCGAAGCCGCCCCGGACCCCAGGAAGGCGGTGGCGGGGCGGATCTCGATCCCGCTCGCCTCCAACCCCGCACCCTGCGCCTCGATCTTGCCGCGACGGCGCCCGCCCCCTGCTGCTCCGGCGGCGACGGCCTCGTCCCGCGCGTCTCCGGCCAGCGGCGGACCCCCTCCCCCCGTCTTCATCGGTCGCCGCGGACTCCTTCCCATGCGCCTCCATCCCCTCTGCCCATGACCCGGCGAATCTTGGGCCCCTCTCACCCTCACCAGCTGCTGCTCGACCCTGCCTGCCGGCGGCGGGGCTAGTCGCGGGGGGCTCGCGGCCTGCCTCCCGTGCAGGCGGCCCCCTCGTTTCCGGCGGCCCTCCCTCCACTTGAGCTCGGTGACGGCTCCTGCGCAGAGGCAGTGGTGCGTCCATGGTTGTGGCTGGCTCGGGGCCCCTCGCGGTGGGTCCTTGCTGGCGCTGCTTCGGCCCCGACAACTGCAGGCCCGCGTCTCTCCGGTGTCCTTCGCTTCCGGCGTCCTCCACCGGGCAGCTCCGGCCCCGGCGACCAGATAGCTGCGCCCCTTCCGGTTTCCCTGGCTCACTGATGTCCCGACGGTTACGGCCACGACAGCTCGGATCTGCGTCTCTCTAGTCCTTGCTTGGCGGCGTTGCTAGACGACGTTGCGCCAAGACCCCCGCGTGGTTCGCCTCATCGCCCGCCCTACCCTGTAGGCCTCAAAGCCCCCTCTTTTGCCAGATCCAAGCCCATAGTTCGGAGGTGGTGCCACCTCCGGCGGCGGGTGCAGCCCCGCCAACTCCCCTGACTTGGCGGTTCCGACCAGCTTTTGCCTCCCCACCTGTGATCCCTGATTCGACGGCTATGGGATTGCTCAGCTTTAGGCCAGGGAGATATCCCCGCTCGGCTCACCGGTGCTGGCAGCGACGGCGCCCGTGGGTGTCGTTTTCCTTCTTGGAGGCACTGCCAAGGTCTTTAGCTGCGCCCCTCTTCGAGCTCAGGGGAAACCTTAGATCTAGGTCACCCGGACCGGATAGTGACGGAGTCTCGGCGTCGTCTTCCTTCTTGAAGGCACTATCTTGCTCGCTCGTGGTGTCCTTGATTTTTGGCTCGCACGGTGTTGGAGTTCTCGTTGGTTTGGCATCGTTGCTCTTGCCTCGGGTTTGGCAGATTTAGCTGTGATGTCCCCTCTGTTTGGGTCGAGCATCCCTTGTCTTTCTGCTCCGGGCACCATGTTCACGCCTATCTGCGTTCGTGTCATGTGTTGTACCCCCTATACTCATTCTTCTCCTTCTATCAATGAAATGATACACAAGCTTTGCGTATTCGTGAAAAAAGTATTATGTCCTTCATGTCATATTAGTGAATGTATTTGATGCCTTCTGAGCTGGTGCCAACTTGCAGGACCCACCTTAAATTTACGTAGGATCGCCCAACGGTCACCTGCACACTTTAGTTGGTTTTGCAAGAGAATGATTTTTTAGAAGGAAATATATTAATATCAAGCAGATACCAATTACACCCAGCTTCTACATCAACAAGATTATAAAAACACCCAGGATGCACACAGCAAAAAAGGGAGAGAGAAAAACCCTGCCACAGTCTTTATCACCTGCAGACTGCAGCAGTAGCACTCTAACCACTTCCAAAGACACACCCAGACTACAAAGAAGGTTCTCCAAAAACAACGCCT